CTTTATTCTACACAAAAATAAAAATAAAAGAACAAATTATTTTTAGTTAACTGTCCGTTCACCTCTCTGTATACTCCTATGATGAGTCTTATTAAATTTTATTTTGTTTGAAGATTCCGGAATGAACTTCCAGATCCTAGTGCACAGCCAAAGCTTATGTCTTTGAAGAAAGAGAAAGATCAGTAAGCCATCTCTTCTGTTTAAAATTTTTTGCATTTAGGCTTGCCTGTGTTACAATGTGTGTTCGTTGGTGCATGGACTTTTTGTAAAATCCAGAAAAGATTGGTATGGTGGTGGACATTAATTTTCCTGGTTCAGGGCTTAGTTTAATCTTTTGGGGAAAATAATAGTCTAGGGTTGGTTCATTTTTGTCATGTTTTAGCACCCATACTAGTGGGATTCTGGGACTCGGTATATATATGTTATTTAGTTATTGTTGAAGCTTGCACTATGGGAACCTATTCTGATGGTTTAAATAATGACTTTATGACATATGATCAGCCGTTTAATAGTTATCCCTATTCCCTAGTTATCATGCTATTGAATTTCATTATCAAATTCAATAATTATCTTGTGGTAACTTTTGCAATCTTCCCTCCCGCCCCAGATATACAAAATACACAATAACGTCATTGGAGAAAACATACAAGCCCAAGCTTTTTGTTGAACCAGATCTTGGGATTCCTCTTGACCTACTCGACCTCAGTGTATATAAGTATTATACTCAGCCCTAAACTTTTTAAGACATCAATAGTTTCATATTGCATGACAATTCTGTAACATATGTTTTTTTATTGGTTCTGGTTCAATCAGTCCTCCTCCTCCAAGTGTTAGACTACCACTCGCCTTGGAAGATGAGGAATTATTGCGGGATGATGTTGCAGTGACCCCTGTGAAAAAGGATGGCATCAGGAGAAAAGAGCGGCCTACTGATAAAGGAGTTGCATGGCTGGTTAAAACCCAGTATATATCTCCTCTTAGTATGGAGTCTGCAAGACAGGTAATTGATCAGTGCTCCATTTTAGATGAGAAATCTTTCTTGAAATTATTGGTAGGCTATGTTATAACTATGTGCATTGCCATCTACAGTCTTTAACTGAAAAACAAGCAAAAGAACTGCGGGAAATGAAGGGCCGCAACATTTTGGAAAACCTCAATGACAGGTTGCTCTGTGCCTACCTACCCTTGTGATTGTGAAACTAATGTTCATTATTTATTAACTAATTATGATGAATCATTTTTAGGGAAAGACAAATCAAGGAAATTGAGGCATCATTTGAGGCCTGCAAGTCACACCCTGTTCATGCAACCAACAAGAATTTGTACGCTGAAGAGGTTCTACCTCTGTTGCCTGATTTTGACCGGTATGGAATATTTAATTTTCTGTTCAAATTACATGATCATATTTTACTTTGGCTACCATATGAAGCCTATTAGATGCTGTTCTTTGTAAGGAAAGTTATTAGATGTAATGGCAATGGATTTAAGTCAAGCTGTGCGGTTTATTGACAGCTTGTTATGTCAGACTCCAGACATTTGAAATCAAAAGCATATATATTCATAAATGGGAATGCATACATGCAGATTCTTGATATTATTTCAATGATGACGAATCTGAGAATGAACAATTGGGCTGGTGGCTGATTAATTGAAAATCTAAAGCATTTACTTAAATAAAATCTTATTGCATGCTAGAGTATTCATATTAACTTGGGGCTGTTTATTGATGATTCTTTTGTAACAGGTACGACGACCAATTTGTCCTTGCAGCATTTGATGGTGCTCCTACTGCTGATTCAGAAATTTACAGCAAGTTGGACCAGTCTGGTCATGATGCTTATGAATCAAGAGTGAGTTCGGGTTATGATGCATGCAACAAGTTTTTTGTCATATATTTAAATGCTCAAACCTTCCATTTTCAGATTCTTGGACATTGCAGTCTGTTACACATTATTTATAAGTGGATGCCCCAAAATTAGTAAAATAGAATAGAATCCAAAAGACTTGAAGAAAACCAACATAATTGTATGAATTGGTTTGGTTAAACCTTTGACAGACAAACAAGAAAAACTAATATAACCTGTACCCACTTCAGCCTGTTGTACTTTTATGCGCAAACGGAAGCGAATTCTAACAAAGTACCAATATCAACGTCAAGGAATTTCACTAAACAAACGGAGTTTACAAAAGGGTGTTTAAACTCTCACAACCCAAATCCCACAAATTGACTCTCACCAAATTGCCACACAAAAGAGCCACACAAAATACACTAACCCTAAGGTCCTATTTATAGTGCATAGGACTTAGGTTACAATAAGAATCCTAATAGGAAGTAAATATAAATCCTAATCAAATAGGTAATTAACAAAATCTCTCCACCAAGGAAACCAACTAAGAAGTCAAAATCCAAACCCAAATAGGACACCAAAACCAAATAGGTAACACAAACGTAATTCTTTGCATCATCCTAATTTTGAGCCATAAAACCCAACACAGCCCCACTAATAAAGTACCCAGGTTGGCTTTCCTTACCATATTTGAAACTGTATTCCTTCATTTCTTGTTAGTGTGTCTTAGGTGGTTGCTTATTCGTTTTGGCTGGGAAATAATTAAAAATTGAGTGTAAATAATTCTGCCAGTCCACAACATAATGTCCCAGCTTTAGATGAATTGACCTGCAGTGTGTTTTGGATGGTTGCAATATACGAATCAAGTATTCATTTGGGTTGGGTATATAATTTTAAGAATTTCCTTTGTAGGAGGTAATCCTGTCAGCCCACAACCCGATGTCCCGTAGTTTACATGAATTTGAACCTTTATTTGCTGGTCATGTCACTCTCTATGTATCTATAGATTGAGCGGCTCTAGTACTCTTCACTTCTAGTTCAGCTGAATCCACCTCCCATATGGATTGGCAAAAAAGAAATGCCTATCATGCTGCTTCTTTCCTTCCACTATCTGTGTATCCTCGTTACTTTTTTCATTCGCCATCAGAAACCCTGTTTTTTGGAAGATAAGTGTTGTGTAACAGTAAATAAATATTATACAGAAGTTCGAATTTTCCATGGATTTTGGTTATTTTGAATGTTTTCATATTTCTTCAGTACCCTATAATTAGCTAGTGATGTGATCTAATCCATTACAGGCCATTATGAAAAGTTACAAAGTAACAGGCGTAGATCCAGCGAATCCTGAGAAATTTTTGGCTTACATGGTCCCTTCACCTAATGAGGTAGGCATGCTTGTTTTGAGAACATTAGCATTAACAGTTCGTAGTCTGCTCTCATGGCTCATGTATTATGTACTATTTCAATGGTGGCAGCTATCAAAAGATCCCTACGATGAATCTGAAGATGTTTCGTATTCTTGGGTTCGCGAGTATCATTACGATGTATGTATGCTCACAGTTTTAAGAAGTCAATAAGTTACCCTTTTTATTCCTTTAGAATATCAAGCCATTCATTTTGCAACAGGTAAGAGGTGATGATGTGCATGATCCCACTACGTACCTCGTTTCATTTGATGATGATGAAGCACGCTATGCGGTATACCCTCAAATCGAGAATTTAATCTTTAATTATGCGTGCATGTATTTTCTTGATCTTTGTTTTTGGAGAAGGAACTCTTCAAAGGTTATCATTGTTATAAAGTTTCCATTACAATGCAGCCCCTTCCCACAAAGCTTGTTTTAAGAAAAAAGAGGTCCAAGGAAGGAAAAACCAGTGATGAGGTTGAGCATTTTCCAGCACCTGCGAGAGTGACTGTTAGGCGGAGAGCAACTGTTGCTTCAATCGAACTAAAGGATGCAGGGGTATGAGAACCTATTTGTTGAAATATAAATTTCTTTGGGGTGTATGGGGTTTTAGTCATCGAATGATTGTGTTTTCAGGATTATTCAACGGGATCTGTATCAAAATTGAAAACAAGAGGCTATGATGTTGAAGATACCCTTGAAAGACCACAAAAGATTGCACGGCACCAAGATCTGGACGAATATAGTGGTGGCGACGATGATTTATCCGATTAATTTCTCCGTTGATGTAAATGTCGCTGGCTGTCGTGAAGGCTAGCAACTTATTTGGGATCTGCCCATATTGTGATCAGATGTCGATGCAAAGGCGAGCTCAAACTCATTTGACCGCTTGTTTTTGGGACGTCCATTCAAGCTTCAAGTCGACGTGTATCATTAGCCAGAACACATTTTTCCTTAGATACCATGAAATGGTAAGACGAAAAAGAAACCTTGTAAAGAAGTTAGATGTGTTTTAGAACGTTTCGATCCGAGTATAGTGCTCTCGAGTTTATCCAGAAACGAATAGGTTCTCCCAGCAGTTCTAACTCATGACTATTTTACTTGATTAGGCAGTGTGGTATTACAGTTAATATAGTTCAGATTTTCCTGCGAAATTCAGCAATAAATTGTGTGCCTGCTTGTTCTAGTGAATATTGATTTTGTTATGAATATATTCCATTCTTTATCTTAAGTCAGTTACCCAGTTTATAGAATATATTGCATTTTAAGCGGCTTAGATTCACTCGTTAAATTATTTGAATTTTGGTACGCGCGTCTTGCAGTAACAGTCCAACTAAGGGTTTGTTTGAAAGTGCTTTTAAAATGACAGAAAATGATTTTCATGAAATTGATTGTAAGTTTTAAAAGCACTTTTTGAAAGCAGCACAACATATGCGCTTTTTGCATAAAGCACTTACAGTAATTTTCCAAGATCCACTTGGACTAAGGAATGGTGTCAAAAACATTTTCATTAAGAACGCTTTTAATCATTTTAAAAGCACATACAAACAAGTCATAAATCAAGGTGGTTACAAGGATTTTTTTTGGTGAATTTTTGGTGTCCGGAGGCCGGCAGAAAGTCTCAATTCATGGTGTCCGCATACTATGTTTTGGGACTAGAGTGCGATGCATCCATGCAAAACTGTCGAGGAGGGCAAAATCGGAACTCTAGAAAGACATCAAGAGCTCGTCGAATCTAAAACACTAATGGAAGTGAACTGAGGGATTTGTCTGTGGCTCCCAAATTAAGGTACATATTGAACAATGTAAAACATTCTACAGAATACTAAGTTGCCTCTTTGCGAAATCGCCTAGCTACCAACAGAACTACGTTGTGTATTCGAATATTTACAACTACTCAAACACTCAACAAGTATAAGCTGTTCTACGTACAACGATGAGCGATCCCCACATGGTAAAATGTTCGAATCATTGCACGATTCAATTTGTGGAGGTAGCCTTGGAAAAGTCGATGACCCTGTACCGATCTTCATATTCATGAAGACTTGTTTTATGCAATTGACGCCCTGTTCATCGTGAATGGAGTCCAAGGGAAGTGAGCGAATAAAACTAAGGAGTACCTGTTCTGTTTAAGCTACAAAAGTAATCAATTCAAGACTCACCATGCTCGTCGACACCTGACAGCTTCTTGACGAACAGCCCTCTTTGGATCATTAAGAGCTTTGGATATTGCTTGTAGTACCTGAATAAATAGTACGTATAAGAAAAATGCACACACGCGCCCAAACTATGAACAAAATGGTAATTTTCATCATGTCAGACAGATCTGATAAGTTGGCAGAAATTTGGCATCCACCGGAGAATGATCTGGTCGCCAATAGATTCTAATGAGTAGAAACCAACCAACCTGTGTTCTCATGGGAAAGATTCTTGCATAGGGCAGCTCAGACGTTGCAACAAGACATTGAATTGCAGTCTCTCGGACAAGCTTAACAATTAAAAGAAATATACATCAGCCAAAGCATATAAACACCGCTTCTAGCCTGAAATAAAATTTTAAGCAGAAAGTGGGGTAGCAAACGGAATCTTAAACCCACGGCAGTTAATAATTAGATGCCTGAAATAAATACTGAAACAGAAAAGGTGCGGCCGGACATTAGAGCGTAAGCGAGCAACAAAAGATAGGTTACCATCATATGCGGGTAGCCAATGAGTCTGGTGAGACAATTAATTAAAATATGTGCATTCTCTACGACAGCTACTTTTCCTGCATGAAGGTAATGAACAACAGAATCAGGTGAAGAGTTAGGTAAACAGAGGCAAGCGGTAAGCAGTCATATCAGGAAAGAAATATGTAAGTAACATATTTAACATGGAACTACAGGAGACATAGATAAACAAATGGCAAATGTACACACACACACAAACGCCTGCATTAACGTTGGCATTACCATTTTTATCTGTCAATATTCCAGAAAGAACTAGCAAAAGACTGTATAGCTTGTCTTTATCCAGAATATCCTCACTTAACACGGACAACCCATCCAACATTATCGGCATGAGCTGCAAAATTTGTGAGGTAATGTCACAATTCCAGGATATAAAATTCCTTTTTAAGTATAATTAGTTTATAATTTCTACTTGAGTTACCTTCTCTGCTTCACTCAAGATAGCAATTAAAGGGGCATTAGATATAAGGTGTGCAGATGCCCGAACCAGCATAGATCTGAAAAAAAGGGAGTAATTTGGGCATAATTAATAAACGAATGCCATTAATCAGGCCTTCAAGCTCTAGCTTTAGGCCATGTGCAATAAGTAATATAGGATAACACTGTTTGTATATGTACCTGGATAATGATGAATCAGACTTTATTATCATAGACTGCAAAATAGGTATCACCGAAGAGAAAAACCGCTGTTTGTAGAGTGGCCGTGTTATGGCATGAAATTTTCGGTTCAAACAAACTTCAGAATCACTCATAAGAATGTGAAATGCATCTGCAGCGGTTCTCATCACAGAATGCTGCTCATAACTGTTTTCTAGACCTTGCTGTAACTCCATGGCATGTTTTCTGCCTTCTGACAGTAAGCACTCCAAAAAAATTTTGGTTACATCTTTTACTTTTTCATGACCAAGTAGAAGCAAACCTTTTCCTATCCATGCTAATCCAATTAAGGCACGGACTTGAAGCTGCTTATTGCTCGAAAAACCAAGGCATAGATCAGTAAGACTCACTTTTATGCCATTACTTGTTCCAGATGTCTTTAAAACTCCATTTTCATTGAAACTCCATATATTTGTTCCAAAAATCATATCAATCGCTTCTTCCAGGGTACAGTCCTTTGAATTTTCCGTTTCCTTGGACTTTGTACCCAATTTATTGATCACAGAACCCAACGCCTGAGCTGCTGGAACACAACCTTTAAGAAGGGTTGTCATAAACAAATGCAATAGCCCTTTCAGATTTGCAATCTGTGTTTTTGGATGCACCGCTATGATTATTGATGCAAATAGTGAAACAATCCATTCATCTCTATGAGAGAATGTGTCTCTCTGTTCAGAAACGTGCAATTCTTGAAGTTGGATTGAAGAGGTTGCATCCATGGATTCCTTAAATGGAATGGATATGTTTGATGAAAGAACACTGTAAGCCTTGTCGACCATAATCTTCTGGCTTTCATCTGAACAGCTCCCAACAGCAAGCTTCATTGCCATCATGACTGCATCAAGAAGCTCCTGAAATGAAATTAAAAAAAAATTATTGGATTTCTTAGTATAGCATTATAATCTATCTTTTTCAGCAATTACTGAGTTCCAGATTAGCAGTGTCAGAAGGAGCTGAAAGAAACTTCTAGCATATTATTAAACATGGTAATAAGAAAGATATTTTATAAAAGGAACTCTACTCACTTCTTCCCGGACTTGAACACTAAAATCTTTACAACTTTCAGAAGCATTCCAAATGTTAATGACAAACCGCAACAGAACTTCCTCAAGACCTCCAGTTTCCTTGATCCTACGCCATTTCAACATAAAGCTTTGTATCAACAACAGAAAAAGCACAGAAAAGTAAAAAAATAACAATAAAGAACGAGAAACACATTACACTGAGAGCCCAAACACTTTAGGAATTATATCTCACGAATGCAACACAAGGTCCTCCTCCTATGTGCGAAATTTGAACTTATTTATCACTTTTAAGTGTTATAAAAGAGAAACACAGGTATGAGACGGAAAAGTGAGGTGCAGTTTTGCTTGTGGTGAAAAGAGGGTCAATACAGTTTTATAGATTGCCAATTATGACTCTAAGCATGTTACAAACGAAAAACGAAATTTATCCATGCAGGTCTAAGTATTCACCACAAATAACTAATAGCAAATGTATGATGGGTCAATATTGTCAGAAGCAATTAAAAGATACTCTTTAGGAAAGTACTTTCCATATGCCTGGAACATGATCCTACTATAGAATTTGCTAGACACATATTGCCTGAAGCAAACACAAAAGAGGCACAACACAATTCACTTACTGATATCAGTAAGGATTGTCAGTACTCCAATGACAGAGGAAACCAAGATTTTCCAGGGGAAATCTAACAAAACCTTGACATAAACAACAGTTAGCAACGTTATTGACAAGCTACATGATATTTGACTATGGAACATGATTTTAATAGGATAGAGGGGGCTTCTCTTTTTTACTAGTTTCATCATTCATTATTGTCTCCACAATTCTTAAGCAGTCACAAATGTTCCCAAAAAATGTTCATTAACGCTCCTTTGTATACAAAAAGAAAATGAGCAAATCACTCTTCATATATCTAGAATGAAATCTATGAATTAGCATGGCACCAAAAAACAAGGTTATCAAATTTGTGAAATTGCTAGGTTTTGAACTAATGGTTGTTGAACTAATAGCACAACGGGGAAAACTGTTGAAAAACCAAAGAAAAAATTGTCTTAATTTACAGATTGATCATTCGGGTAGAAGAAAAACATACCATGGAAGAATCTTATTACAGTAGCATTCCAAAAGTTGAATTGTCCTTTCAGCCAAGTTCAATTTTCCATGGACCTAGGCAACAAAATGCAAAGAAAGGAGTCTGAGAATTTTTTTTTTTAACATATAGCTTGAAGCAAGGATTGCTCGCCCAAGAACAAATGGAACAAGTTAAATAAACAAAATGAAATGCCCATATTGCTTATATTGCATCCACAATTATAGTATGTTAATCATGGATGAAGCAAACTGGCTACCCCATTAACTTCTATGAACTTTATAAAGGAATAGTTTAAATATGAGAAATACAGAAATATAGGTGGAACATACATAATCAGATAACTTGCCGACTATGGCCTCTTCAAGCCCTTGTACAATTTTTAGCATATGATTTAGCCCACTTGCACCAATCTCAGAGACTGTCTCCAGTTTTAGTGGAAAAGGCACATTGAAATCATCATGAGACACCAATGAAAGTGTCTTTTCAACAACAAGGTCTATATAGCTTAGTGCCTTCTCGGACTCATGATATGCATCCACAAATGAGCCAATGTGCACTAAAGCCTTCAATGCTAGCTTCCATAGCAATGCCTTGTTGAAATCCACTAAGATGATTGACATCAGTTCCGTCAGAATATTCTCAAATATAATTTTTGATATTGGCAAGAAATCTCCAGGGAATGTAGCCAGCATCTGTAAACCCTTGACTGCATATCAACAAAAAGCACAATCAATAAAGTTGGAACTGGCACTAAATCTCATATTTATTCATATAAATCCGTGGTCACTCAATTGGGAGGCAAATCAAATATAAATGAAGAGAAGATATTTTTTCCTTAATTTCTTCTATCCCAATTTTTCCATACCTATAGCTTGTTTGCACAAGATGTAGTGCAGGTTTAGCAGGAAGCAGTTTAATTAATTGAACACTGTGTTGAAGAACATCCTATAATATGTCTTAGTAACCTTGTTAGACCTAGCACAGGCCAAAATAGAAAAGACACAGCATGGAACTGACTTCAAAAGAGCTTTCAAACACTTCAGTAGATATTCAAGAAACTAGTCATTCTAACGCAAGACTCTTGACACCAGATGATTTGAAAAATGTCAGACGTATGAAGTAACTGAAAAGTTCTTGCCAACAGCCTACAGATCTAACCAAGTTGGTGTAAACAAAAGAAATGTAGAGTTCTCGAAATGGCCCTGGGTTCCCCTAGTCATAACACTACGGTCAATACCTAAGGTGTGCCTAGGTTTACATAACTCAAACAGCAATTATTAACTCATTACAGTGTATCCATCTTGTTTATCAACACATTAACCAGATGCAAGTAGATAACAAATACATGTCCACACAAAAAAGCTTTCTGCAGCACAAGCAACCTAAAGCATTCACCTGTGAAATAAATCTCTGCACCATGAACTTCATTAAGATATGTGGCCAAGGAAGAACAAAAGGCAATGATTAGTGAATCCGCAAAGCTCTGAAGCATGTAGCAACATGTCGCATGTGTAGTATCAGGCTTCGGAGCAAGGTCTTTGAATGTCATAATTAAATCTCTGCATGCCTCAATGAGTTCCACGGAGAGATAAAGAGCTCCAAAATTAAATCTTTTTGAGGAAAAAGAATTCTCATTAAGAGAGCAATCCCCAGATGAATTTCTCACAGAAATCTCGAGAGTGTTCATTAGGCAAGGGAAGAAACTTTCAAACACACTTTTACAGGAAGCGGCAGAAGTCTTTGTTATCTTATAAAGGATACGACCGACTGCATGTAACCTTTGCTTGCCTTGCAAAGGAATATTATAATTTTCATACCTAGTGATGGAGTTGAAAACTGCGTTTATATCTTCATCACGAACAATTAAATTTACAAATAACGCCTCATTTTGCATGGTAACCTTTTCTAGAAGCATTAGAGCTTCTGTTGCAACTTCATTCTCTTGAAAGCCAAGACCATAAAGTGGTTCTTCAGTAAAGGATATAGCAGGCTTTTCCAAAGAATTACTTATGGCATGTTTCACTGAAATCCAAATAGTTTCAGCATGTTTTGCCATTCTGTCAGCTCCATATTTAGCTGTGCAGTGGTTAAGATATTTCAAAGAATCAACCTGCGGGCATACAAGCAAATAGAAAATGTATAGTTTTCAATGAGGCATTTTGCACCAATCACAGTGAAACAAGTTGCATCTGATACATAGATGGAGACGCATTCAAATTGCACCAAACCTTTGCTAATGGCAGAGATGAAGAAAGTTTCTCAAGAAGCAATGGAATGACAAATGGCTCAAATAAAGGTGTGGATGACAATGCTGACTGCAGAAAGAAAACATTTGGCTTAGTTAGTGTGCAAAAGAAGATATCATATAGGTAGTTGAATACATAAGTAATAAACAGCTTCAAATGTCACGTGGTTTTGTTGCCACCTTACTTAATTGTTGCTTTGGAAACGCAAACATAGAGCTATAAAAGATAAGTTTCTCGTACGCCATGTACAGTTTTGCTTCTCAATTTTTAAGGTAAGCCTTTAGATAGTTTGAAAAGCTATTGGTTAAAAATAATATAAAGCATCGGGGTGTACACTTTCAACACAGATGGTGAAAATGTTAGACAACTATGCTAACTGAGATGAAGAACTTAAGACAACAAAACTGTGAATAATAAACTTCATATATGGAAAAATAAACTGCATTGTGCAATTTCCCAACCCAGTAAAACCTGGTCAATCATATAAACCAAGTTGCAGGCTTTATGTTTACTTGAGGTCATTTACAATATGAAATACAGGCAAAGGCTGGGTCCTAACTCATTTTTCCCAGCTCACTCATTTTTTCTCACTCTTTTAATTAATGTGTTTTCAAACTCAAAAATTTCAATTGGTGAGTGCATTGCAGCTACTTTTTTCGCACAACATTTGACACATGTTTTTGTGGGGCCCACTTCATAATGTATTTCAATGATCTGAACCATCTATCTTTTAGATCTTCCCTCAAAAATCATGTCAAATAAAAATCACCCAAATCTAAAACCATATAACCATTGGATTAAGGGTTTAGGGTTTCTTTGTAGTACCATATTCGTCCATCTTCTTCACTACAAATGGTCTTAATGGTTTTGGATTTGTCTAATTTTTTGCAAGGATGATTTGAAAATGATGTTCTAAATGATAAACAGTTCGGATAGTTAATATACATCACGGAGTGGGCCCCACAATGGCGTGCCCCAAAAGTTGTGTAAAAAAGTGGTGTCACGGATCCACCCTAAAAAATTTAAAAAAAAAAAAGAAGAGGCGGTATTCATAACTGCTTTACAATTCTATTCTGTTCCAGTTACAAGGAACGATCTCAGCCGTAAAGAACATTGTATATTACTATGGACATATAGCCATCAGCCAATATCAATTCAATCAGAAATTTCATGTATCAGCAAGCAATGTCAGGAACAAAAATCAGAAGAAATCATCATAGAAGCTGTAACCCCCTCGTAAAATGAACATAACAAAGTTCAGAATCCCAGAGAATTAGTAGTGAGAAATTTAGGCAAAAGCGGGGCTGAACCAGTAACAGTGAAAGCATACCAAAAGGAAGAAATAAAAATAAATAAATCATACCATTAGTGCCTTTGAGAGGTCATCTCTTTTCACATCAGAGTCCTCATCTTTCAGCTGGACAATGCATAGAGGGGCGAAAAAAACCACACATCACATATCAATGTAATCAAAGAGTATAAGACTGTAAAGAACTGAATGGTAACTTATGGCTTATGTAAGTAAAGAAAGAGACTTGTCATAACAATCCTATGCCAAAGGGGGAAAAAGTAACCAAACAGAAAACCTCATTGGTGAGTATACCATTTGATGAGACTGGATCAAGCTACAAATCTAAATGTGGATCATTAAAAATCAACATATAAGAAGGATTATTTTCATTTTAGTTTTGATAAGTTGATTGGTGCACAGAAATGTTAAGGAGTCAATATGCAAGAAACTGACACTGAATATGTCTTGAAACTTTAAAAAAAAAAAATCAAGCAAAAAGATATCAATATCACCCAAATAAATAGTAAAATGAGTCAATTATTAAGGCAACCCACAAAGTATTAACTCTCAGGGACAACATGAAATCTGAATAAGAATCTGACAACCCAATTGTCTCGGCACTTAAGGAGACATCCTAGTTGCAGAAACATCTCGCTGGTAGAAAAGACTTTAGAATTTTCATGCATAATGTTAAGATTGCAACCAACAGGTAAAACATAAGCTTACATGAGTAAAATGAATGGGAAAGTAACATCCCAATAATGTAAAGAGATCTTCACAAAAACTTTCAAGTGAGCCAGATGGGTCTGGATATATTTGCACCAAAGCCTCAACAATAGGAAATGTTAACATTAAGCAATGAGGATCTTTTTCTCCATCCATTGCTTGACAGATCCCGTAGAAAAAGGTTTCTCCCTGTACAATAGAGAACAAACTGATCAACATGTAACCAGAATCAGTGCAGAATGAAGCATATTACTATTCAGAAAAGACAAAAAAAATCAGTTGAAAGCTTCATGCATTTCTGTCTATTTGCATGTGTGTGTGAGATGTTGATAGACAAAACACAAAATGGAAATATATATACATATACAGAGAGAGAAAGAGGAAGAGAGCACAAAATGACCGAAAGTAACAATGGAATCCCAAACGATAGGCTTTCTTACATTAAAAGGAAACGCCTAGTTCTTTATATATTATAAATTTATAATCAACCCGGCTTCGGGTGAAAGTATCAGGTATCTTTCTGGTTCCCATACTGATCATCATATATTACTGAAAAGTGACAAAAACAGAAAGACAGAACACAAACAAGTTGAAGAAAGCTAGACAGAAAAAATACCAGTGAAGCAACTTCATTGGGATGGCGCACTAAAAGGCATTGCAAAAGCTCAAAGCAAAGCTGCAACAGAATTTGGAGATGGAAGTCAAGCAGTTTTGTTTTCAAAGTCATTGGCTATACATTTAAAGGCAAGGTAATTTTTCTTCATCCAATTTCCTAGGCAGTAGGCATTAAGGATGGCATCCACAAATCCTACCTTTCTGTCATGCTGCCCTAAAGCTTGCACCTGTAGGGACTCTACATAAGTTTGAGCAACAACTTTTGCATCACTGGCAGAGACCATTCCAGCACTAGCTTTCCTCCTCAGCAGTGCCAAGCAACCGACAAGTGCACCACGTAAAGCTCTCCAATCTGCCTGATGTAAGAATGATATCACAAATTTACTTTGGACAAAGCAAAAAATACGACGTCACGAAACAAAGTATCCAGAATAAAAGAGTCAACCCACCAGTCTGTCTGTGAAGAATCCTATCAAGCTATGAATAGTTGCAGTATCTAGTGGTTTTGATGCCAGACCCGTTAGAACTTCTGCCAAAAGAAGGATACCTGAAGATGGATACCATGTCCCAAGAAGCTTTCAGATTTGGTCTTGGGATTTATCCTTTTCAGTAATAAGAAGAGAAAATAGTCCAGGGAAAAAAAAATCTTGCAATCTAGGATTGTCGAGGAACAGTATTTGAGCAACTACAAACTTGTCAGAGAAAGAACAGGTAACATAACTCAAGTATATGGGCAACATAAAAAGAGAACTTATGGTGGAATTGGCATGGATTGTTTACATAACAACGTTAGAAGCACAAGAATGAGAAGACATTTTAGTGTGCTAATAGACGTCTGGCAGTTGATTACACCGTTATTGATTTGTTTTGGGTTTTCTTAAACTTTCTAGAGTAAGGGGTACTTTGCTAAAATCTGCATTGCTTATTATGGGCTGCAGTCATGGATCATGAGTTTTATTTTAATTAATGAGTAAACTTGATATAAGTCCAATTTTGTAAGTCATTACTGGGTTTAGTCCACTTTGCTGAGTTATGTCCATTCATTGATTATCTACATCAGCTTATTTTATTATCTTTTTATTAAATTGTGATAAAGGTTATCTCTTATTTATAGGATTATCTTTTACTTACATTTAGGATTAAATATAAGAATTAAATATTGTTCCTCCTGCTCCCAATTTGTATCCCAATTTTTTCTTCTACCTCCATCACAGGTTAATTGGGTTACTGTTTCAGCAACCCAAGTTTCTTCCTTCTATTTGTATCTCAAATAAAAATTCTCTCTCTTTAAAACCGAGGAACCACAAGTATTTTGAACATCCTTTATCCTTACCAAAGACTTTTAGAACCACTCCCTAAAACCTGGAATCTGCATCTGCTGCCAGAAAATCTCAGCATCAATATCTTGAAAACCATCCCTTTAGCAGCTTAAACATCCTATTCTAGACCCCCTAGCCCAAAAATAACAATTTTTTAAACCTCATAGCCCTTCATATAGCATATGTTATCAAGAATTCAAATTCTATCCTACACCGATAATTATGATAGTTAACGAACAAAAAACAATCTAGAGGAACATTACTGGAGCCTGAGATCATAAATCCCATAGCCAAAATAATCAACCCAAAAATCACCACTTATATCCAAATTCAGAAACTATCCACAATTGTATTCTTATCATCTAACCGAATCCCAGCAGCAGAGTCACTTGTGCACAAGAAACAAAATTTATAAATGTCGAAGCTATTACCCTGATACTCAGATTTCGATCCTCACAGGAAAATAACATATCATCTCATTTCAAAAGTTTCAAATGACACAGCAGTTACCTCGAGCACGGATGACATTATCCGTAGTGGTCAAATACATCCCCATCTCTTTCACCTATAAAAAAAAAAATAACACGCAAATTAGCGATAACAAACCAATTAAATCAAACCGAAACACAACAAAGCACGAAAATTTAACCGTACCAGCACTTCGACAGTTAAAAGGTCATTCTTCACGAGCGTAACAACCGAATTCAAGCTCGCAGTCTGCAATACAAACACACTTTGGGCTTCAAAACTATCCAGCACTAATCCAAACTAAAGCAAGTAGCAAAATTTGATTAAATTCACAGCACCCAATTGACAAAAAAGAAAAAAAAGTTTCATAATTTGATTATAATTTCGATTGTTTAATGTTTGATTCCTTAATTTTTACGAAGAGTGAGGAACTCAAACTAGCAGCGAACTTTTGTTAAAAATTTGAGGAGAAATTGAGTGGAGCGTGAACCTGCTGGGAAGGAGAGCAAGACGTGTCGACGTACGATTCAATGTGCCGAATCAGTTCGGTCGGTCCGGCCATTGTTGGCGAATATTGACGTTTCAGGGTTTTAGGAAGTGTTGAAGAAAGGGGAGGGTTTTCTGCGTAGGAGACACTGGAGTGACCGAAGCACAGATTATTATTATAATTAAATAATCATTATTTTTTTTTTTTAGTAAATAAATGGTTCTTTGTGAATAAAACCCAACAAATTAGTGCCACGTAATCCGGTTTAATGGATTCATCTTCACTTATATTAAGAAGTCTTAGGTTTGATTTTTGTCAAAAATAATTTTAAATCATGTTATTACTAGTCCATATTTTGTTATTAATAATAAAAAAAAAAAACACAACGAATTAGTGAAAAATAAGGGCACATCTCCAATGGGTTTTTAGTTATGGGAGTGTATTCAATTAAAATTTTGAAGAATTTTAATTCTTTTAATGAATCTAGGGATATTCAATCAAGATTGTAAGATGTTATTAAAATCCTTATAAATCTGAGTGTATTCAATTAGAATTTTAAATAAGTTTATAATATTCCAGGTGTATTCAATTAAAATTAGAATTGAAAGAATTTGGAAAAGTTGGAATTGGAGAGATTTTGTAGTATATTTTAAGCATCCACAAATCTCACCTATTCCCATGAGATTTCGAATGAATTGAATCAAAATTTTACATAAAATCTCTACAAATTAGTTAAACTCCGTATAAATCCATTAAAATCTCTCAAAATCCCAATTGAGTACACCCCCTTTGAAAAACCATCTCCAATCACACTCCTTATTCATCTTTTAAGATAGGAATTTTCGTAGGAGCTTTAGAGAGCATGAAATGAGCTCTTAACATGAACTATTATTATTTTCATATTATTTTAAACAAATAAAACTTTATTTGTCTGTAATCATTATACAACTGGAAAGAATTTTTTTTATTCAAATGCCCTTTCAGTTGTATAATGATATACGACTTATATGTCATGTTTTGGCCATACTGAATAATCTCTTCCAAACTAGGAGAGATTTTTCAATATCCTGTAATACGAAGCTGTACACCATATATCATTATACAAGTTGATGGAATTTTTTTATTCAAGTGTCCCTTCACTTGTATAATAATATGTAATATATGTGCCCGTGGTCATGCAAAAATCTCTCCTAAACTAGGAGAGATTTTTCAATATGCCTGGAATACGGGGCATACGTCATATGTCATTATACAAGTGAAGAAATTTTTTTATTCAAGTGTCACTTCACTTATATATTAACATATGACGTATGTACCCGTATTTCGAGCATATTGAAAAATTTCTCCTAAACTAGAGAGTATGATTGGTGTAGAATATTTTTAAAGAGGTGCTAAAGTAATTTTTTTTAGTCCTTTTAGCTATAATTTAACAAAAAAAAATAGAACGCATGATTGGAGATGCTCTAAAGGATTTAGGGTTTAGATAAATAAACGTTTGCTAATTTGATTTTGTTTTTTGTTATTAATTGATAGTATTCATACTTAATTCTCTTGTTTCTTTTATTGAAAATAGAAATATCACTATGCCAATAACTAGCTTTTACCAATTTATTAATTTTTAAAAGTGGTATATCCGTGATTTGTTGTTATGTTGTACCAAGTTGATTTAGTACAAAATATTAATCAATTTAACAAGGCTTGTGTTAAGCCAAGAGCATAGTTAGGTTTGGCTTTCCTTGATGAAACATTGTACTCTTTAATTGTACTATCACACCAAGCTCAAATTAAGATTAGAACAATGATAGGATGTTGATGAAGATACAAAGATGACAAGGGTTGGAGCTCTCTCACTAAGCATGTTCGGTTCATGCATTTGCATGTTAAAATTGCATCTTTACGGTTCTCGACTAGTATGATTTGTCTAATCAAATTTGGGCACGTGCACGTTTCACCCTTCTTTAAACTTGAATGAGTCATCGTACATTTCTCATTCACGACTTATCGATTTTGGACGTGTGTCCTCTATGTGAGTTAGCTACTGCTAATTGTTTACACACAAATATATGTGGGGATGAGATGTTATGGTTTAGGTTTTTAGGAATGTAACTAAAATGAATGTAACCTCATTCATTCCACGGGTGCCACAAGAAAAGAGATAGAGCTTTGGCTAGTTGGTTATCTCTCGAATAAATACGCTTCGAACTTATTTTCTGATTGCTGGTTCATCAACAACAACACAGAGAGAGAAGGGGCAAACTCAAGTAGCAACCAAAAAGATACATACCAGCCACCTTGTACAAGCAAATCATAATTTTCGAAAGATCATGAAACTGTGTCATCAAAAGCCAACTGCTAATCTCCGTCGACAACCTCATCCAATCGGTCAAGAAATCCTTTATGAGTTGCAGTGTCGTTAAATCGAACCCCATTCATAGAAGCTGCTTCAAACTTTGTCCATAACTCCCGCTTTAGAGTATGCTCACCAGGATGTTTGCCTGCTTGAACAACGCTTTCAGCTTCTTTCCAGATGGGAGTGCTTTCGATCATTGCAAAGCTGCCACCTGCAGGCTCTGACAAAATAAAAATACGAACGGTTAGAATCAAAACATGTCCAGTCAATCTGTGTGCTCACAAGTAAAACTAGTAAAGGAGTAAATGATGAGTCGCGAAAATACCATGAAGACAAGATGTCCTGATTGGGTGAATGCCTCCTTGACCATCATCTTCTTTTGATACAGAAAAATTGATACGGTTATCTAGAAGAAGCCCGGTAATGAGCAATTGGGAATCAGTATCAGCATTGTTCGGAGACTTTTCATCATGCGGATCAAGTAAAACACAAGTTTTTGGAGGCGATATGCACCATTCTGGTGATGAGTCAACATGGTTCTTTCTAATTTCTGATTTGAACGGCTGTTGTAGTGCCAACAGCTCTGGATACCTGAAAGCCAGATCATCAGAAGCTTCACTGCCAGAGGAATTGCTGCAATATGTAAATCCAACAGGAAACGGGGTGGATTTATGAACCCCATGATGACCCTTTGGAGAGGACTCCGAAAAGGGTTCGAGCAGAACACATGATTTAGGAGGAGACATTTTTAGGCATGGAGTCATCACATTCACAACCATGGATCCCCCTTGCTTTGGAAACATTGGCGGAGGAGAAACAAACCCAGGCTTGAGATTGCTTCCTGCTTCAGTAGCAACTGAATCAGAAGGCTTAATTGGAGTTGGCTTTGCTGCCACAAGCTCAAGCGAATCATCATTTGCATCTCCGAAAGTAGCATGAAACTTCGGTATCCTATCAACAGTACACGAAGTCATTCTCTCAAAGACTGATGTTCTAGAAGGGACTGGGGGTCTGGATGACAGAGACATTGATATGGGAAGAGGGGTAAGCTTAAACAGATGTCTCCCTCTTTCGATAGTGCAGTCTGCACGCCAAGACACAAGGGGAGAAGGAGAGATTAAGGAGTCTTGTGGACTCGCAATCTGTACACTCTCTCCTTCGTCTGCAGCAGACTCCACCGGATAGGAAAGTGCCTTCTGAAACCTGGGCACCCATGGCTGCAAACAGTTGCATAAATTTGCGTAAAATGCAGATAAAAACGAAATTCAAAGACGAATCATATAATGGGTAAGAATTTCGCAGACCTTCAAAGACGAAAGCATCTCAGACAAGAAATTCGTGAAGGATTCGACTTCTTTGGTTGCTTTTCCTTGGCATTTAAATGCTTGCACAACCAATTCATCAATCTGCAGTAATTTCAACACAAATCACACATTCTGACAGATTTACAAAACCCTAAAGAAAATGCAATTTTCCAAATAAAGACGAAAACTTTAACAATTTTGCTGTAATTTCCACTTCTGATTGTTGAGATCGAGAGAGAAATTGTGTTACCTGGTGCGTTAGGGCAGAGAGATCGGACTGAACGAGCAGGAGGCGATCGAGAGCGTCGTCGTTTTGGTGGTCCTTTTCTTCTTTATCATGTTCTTGGACCCTGAGCTTGTGTGCTTCCTTTTCTTTCTTCTTCGCGGTGGCGAATGATTTAGAGAACCTCCCTCCTCCTCCTCCTCCTCCTCCTCCTCCGCCGCCGCCACCTCCATGGTTGTTCGATATCTCCCTCAGCGCCTTCCTCACTGACCTCCCTTTCTCTTCGTCTTTCGGCATCACTCACTCTCCTCCCGCTCTCTGTCTCTATCACTTTCTCCGTTCGAATTTCATCAGTGCCGCTCATTTTTTAGTTTCTTTGTTTGTATATGTATTGGGCTAAAAACATTATTTGATCCCGGGCCCAGCCCATTATACCCAAGCCACCACGGACATGAACTTTGACCGTGTGTCGATATCTAGCTCTGATATATCCGATTTATTTGTAAAATTAATTCAATGTTTTTTGTTGTTGAAGTAATTCAATGTTTTAGTCCCATATGAATTATTGATTTGAAAAGCATTCAGGTCTATGCATCTTGGTGTGGGTTCGATCCTCACCAACTTATATTCTCTTCTATCAATTAATTTCTAGACTACTAAAGCTATCACAACTCAGAAAAAAAAAAATGCATAATTTGCTCGTAACCCAATGAAGTTGTTTCAAGAAGTGGGCTAAAATCCCACTATATAACCCCTGAAAACCCCATCAATAGGAATTGAAAACTGTTAGGTGGAAGGCCGAAGGGGCTACTAGCCTTGCCACAATTGCTGGTTGGGTAGCTCCGGTGGGCAATCGACGCTTCAAAAGGCAAACTCTCGTCCTAGTTTGGCACCTTAAGGCCTTCTCTAACATTGAAGAGCAAAGGGGTGTGGCGAACTATGTTTTAGTCCTCCAAAATTTTATTTTTCGTGTACCTTTGTGTTTCTCATCTCCAGCCTTACTTGCTGATCACGATATAGCTCTCTTGTTGAAGATGGACTCTGCACATTTACCAGGATAAAAAGTACCCTATAACCCTTCGTTGGAGCTGATTAGAGTACAGTTCGCTTTGTGTATGTGGAGCTTATGTATGGCTCCTACCTCTTTGTGTGTGTATATATATTTTAGTGTGTTTTATCCCTAAAACGTAAGATCATCTCCAATTATGGAGGGCTAAACTTAGCTCCTTACTACGTTTAAGCCCTTAAAAATTTAATAATTTAAAAAATACTATAGGCTAATTTTTTTCATCTTTAACCATGGAGTGCTAAATTTTTTTTCACATTTACTTGGGATGCACAAGTTCAAGCCGACCGAGGGGCTTTAGGGCCGCTATAAGCAGCCAGCTTTGGCTAAATTTAGCCATTATTCTTTTTAGTATATTCATTTTGACTATTGGCAAGAGACAAATTTTACACAAATTCGAGCTAAAAATAGCCTATAGCTTTTTCCCTGGAGATGGCGTAACTTGTGATGTTTAGTCCTCAATGATTGTAAATAACTTTTGTATAAGAAAATTAGTGTGAAAAGCTGGTATAACCAATCGCTTAACCCATAATTATTTAGTACCGTGGTTATTGCCCATGATCAAAACATTTTGCCACTAGTTTGAAAACATTGTTTAATTTGTCTTTACTTCGCAATAACTTGGGAGTTAATATCATAGAGATAATAAATCTTTCACGATGAAACGAAAGAGATCCGAGTGAATGTAAAGGAAAAAACAAGGTATCAATTGAAAAAATTTCGGCTTGTTATTGCGAAGAGCCCTTTGAAAAAAAATCCATTTTTGCAAGCACCGGCATTCATCCTATTAAGTTACTTCCAGTTCTGAAATCTATCATTATTCCAGTGGTGTTCCCAAAATAAATAATTAAGAAATGTACAGATACAATTGAAATCTTAATAAATAAATAAAAAATTGATATTTTGATTCAATAAAAAACAATCAAACTTATTTTCATATTTGTAAATAAAAGATTGGGTAAAGTACAAAAAACTACCTTAACTATTGTGGTCACGACAGTTTCATGCCTCATCTTTTAAAATTGACAATGTCATACCTTCGTCAAATTTTCTGTTAAGTGCTGACGTGGCAAGATACAGAGACCACTCACTAATCCAGCTAGATTAAAAAATAATTAAATATTAAAAAAATTAAGAATAAAAAAACAAAACAAAAAAAATTTCCTAAGGGTGCGGGGACCTTTCCCCTCTCCTTCTTCTTCCCCTCGTTCTTCTTCTTCTTCTTCTTCTTCCTTCTTCTGGTTTTTTTTTTTTTTTTTTTCTTCTGGGTTGCAGTTTCCAATTTTTTTTTTTTCCTCCTCCTCTTCTTCTTCTTCTTCAGTTCTTCCTCCTTCTCCTAAGGGGCGGGTGGGGTTGGGATTTCAAGTTTTTTTTTTTTTTTTTTTTTTGTTTTTTGGTGTGTTAAAGATTAAGCAAATGAAGATGAAGATGGGGAAGATAGAGAAAGGGAGGGAAGGGACGACTAAGGGTTTTTTTTTTTTTTTTTTTTTTTTACTTTTATTTATTATTTTAATATTTAAAAAATATTAAATATTTTTTTTAGTTTTTAATAATATTTTAATAGAAAGTGGTTCTAGTTTTATACCACGTCAGCACTTAACAGAAAATTTAACAGAAAAAGTGATAGAGGTATGATATTGTCACAAATTCGTAAGATTCAGTATGACATTGTCAATTTTAAAAGATGAGGTATGAAACTGTCGTGACCCCAATAATTGAGGTAGTTTTTTATATTTTATTCTAAAAGATTTTAAGCTGCTAGTTCAAGAACATGACAACTCATGAGAATGAAATGTCAAATTGAACCTTGTGGCCAAAAACATGACTAGTGTCAAATTGAACCTAGACACATTCCGCACCGGATAGACCCACCCAACACAGCTCCATAGTATTTCACTCCCCAAAACCCCCGTAACCCAGTTCACTGACTCACCACGAAGCTCCAACCCCGCGCGCCGTCCCATACCAGAGAGGCACCATGTCAGGATCTTTGGTGGAAACCCAAATCCCGCAGCAGAAGCTCTACAGCGGAATCCAATTCCCGTTAGTTATATCTCCGCCACCGGCGGTTCCCTTCACTTTCTCCGCCCTGACCAAAACTATCGAAGCCGAGAAACCGTACCTGGACGCCCAGCTCCGAAAATCGGGGGCCGTGCTCTTGAGGGGCTTTCCCGTAAATACGGCCTCCGACTTCAACGACGTCGTTGAGGCCTTCGGCTTCGAAGAGCTCCCCTATGTGGGCGGAGCCGCTCCCCGGACCAACGTCGTGGGTCGGGTTTTTACCGCCAACGAGTCCCCGCCCGATCAGAAGATTCCATTCCACCACGAAATGGCTCAGGTATATTCGCATTGCACGACACGTCGTTCGTTTTGTTTTTTAAACTGTCGTGTTGTGCGGTGATCTTACGACATGTCGTTTTAGGTGCCGGAGTACCCATCCAAGCTGTTCTTCTTCTGTGAAGTGGAGCCTGGAAGTGGGGGAGAAACTCCGATTGTTCTGAGCCACATTGTGTACGAGAGGATGAAGGAGAAGTACCCGGAGTTCGTCGACAAGTTGGAGGAGCACGGGTTGATATATAACCGAGTTTTGGGCGAAGACGACGACCCTTCTTCTCCAATTGGCCGTGGCTGGAAGTCCACCTTCATGACCAAAGACAAGAGTATAGCTGAGCAAAGGTATTGCTCCAACTTGTACAAACTCTAGTTCACTTTAGCAGTGCAACGAGTAATTTTTCAGTGCAGTCTTAACATTAACACCGAGTGTCATACCAACAGGCTGTCACATTTTTTATTATGATCGTAACACTGACACCACGCGTTATGCCAATGTAGTGTTACAAAGGCACCTACGATATACATAAGAACGTGTAGAATCATTAAATTTCTAAACTGAGTAAACACTAGATGGTAAACGAGCGAGCAATGTAATAGTTCAAGTGAGCTTGTATCACCACATCGGCATTCTACGTAGTTTTATGGTAATATTTTCATCAGATATGTATCAAATGAGTCCTCGTTATTTTTTTTTTGGATTTGAAGTTGTTACGGTGATTGTTGAGTGAGTTGAGATTGAATTATTAACAGCTACGGAGTTGTACCCCTAAAACTTTTTGCAGGGCTACTAAGCTTGGCATGAAGTTGGAATGGTTGGAGGATGGGGTGAAATCAATCATGGGACCAATCCCTGCCATCAAATATATAAGCACAACGCAGCGCAAGATTTGGTTCAACAGCATGGTAGCCGCGTATACCGGCTGGGAAGATGCAAGGAACGACCCTGTGAAGGCCGTCACCTTTGGAGATGGCAGCCCATTGCCTGCGGATATCATCCACGACTGCTTGAAAATTCTCGAAGAGGAAAGCGTTGCCTTCCCATGGCGCAAGGGTGATGTTTTACTGCTGGATAATTTGGCTGTCCTTCACTCCCGGAAATCGTTCACTCCACCTCGCAGAGTCCTAGCTTCGCTCTGCAAATAGTTAAGGCCTATCAAGTACGTGTTCTTATGTCTTGTTAACTCTTCCCTTTCGGAGAGATCAGATGTTAATGATATACTAGTTTTCGTACAAAATTTTCATGTTCTATATAGATTTCTATTTCTTTTCGTAACTTTTACGGATGTTCCGTTTATGTTTCCTTGAATTCGAAGTATATACTATACGCTTTCGAAGAAGAAGCTCAAGGCTTCATAGAAAATCCATGTAAAAAGTAAGGTAAAAGTTGAACTGCAGGTAACTTATATCATTAAGCTACTGAAAGCTTACTTGTATTACAAGGAAACACCCATCTCAGCTCCTCCATCTAATTTTACATAAAATTAAAAATTTCCCACAAATGACACTACAAAGAATAAAACACGTAAAGAGGATAAAACGGAGGAACGAACGAAGAACGGCACTATAAATACGGCCAGCTTACGACTATATATGTGCCGCTATACACACATGATCACACATAAACGAGGGGCAAAAGAATGAAATATTGTAAGGCATCCGATTGGAAAGGAAACGCGGTTTCACTATCTTCCCTGAACAAGGCCACTGAATACCTGGCTCTTCCCTGCAAGAGTAGCTTCCCACTCCACTGAGCTTAGGAGGATCTGTGATAGAGAAATCACGACTCCTTTCATGTCGGGCCGTAGGATGGGGTCGTCATCTACACATTGCTTCGCTATCATGGCCACCTGCGTAATGAGTTGCGCCAACAAGAAGAAATGTGTACGTTATTGATGAACATTGAAACACGACTTCAAAATTAACCAAATGGCTTTTTGGTTTACTTTGATGATATAAATACTTGTAGGATAATTACAACGTATGGATTGAGCTTATATTCGAACCGATGGGTCAGCTCTAGTATAATTTGGTTTCATCTTAATTCTCTCATAGGTCATGATCCCCGTTCCCACGGTCCATTGAAAGAACAAGTGCAACAATTTTCAGTCAGATTTTCATATAAATGCAATTTATGTCAGTTGTCATCGGAAAATTATAGCACTTCCTCGTATCAGAGAGGCACGGTCGGTAAAAGCAGGCCAAAATATTCATCAACCTGTATGGGTTCATAAGGTGATTAATTTACCTTGAATAGGCAATCATGAGGATACAAGTCCATCATATTTGGATCAATGTAATCTTTCAGGTTTGACATGCTCATCGAGTCTGGTGAAGTCCTAAGAGCTGTTTGCATCTGCATTCAAACAAAGTTCTAAAACACAGTGAATCAAGTTTTCTCTGATTCATCCTATATACGTAATTACGAATTATATGACTCTGGCTCAAGCCGGTGAATAGTCTCCTGATCTTCTCAAGATTCCAGCTATGAGCAGGTAAAATCATTATATCGTTTATCTATTTAGAAACAAAATTATGTCTCGTCAGCAGAACTTACAATTGACACCAGTGAACGTCTTTCGGAATTTTTTGTGGCTGTGCCTTCAGTTCGTATAACGGCCTCCTTCCCCGATATAAGCTCAAAAAGAACAACTCCAAAAGCATAAATATCACTTTTTGCAGTAGCACGGCCATCACTCAAGTATCTACAGGAAGCAAGAGGGAAGCAATTAAAACTTGACGAACTTGTTGAAAGACAACGTCGTCAACTGCAAATATGGTTACTTACTCTGGAGCCAGATAACCATATGTACCAACAACTTTGGTTACACTAGCTTCTTCATCACTTGTCTTACCAAAAATTTTTGCCAACCCGAAGTCTGAAATCTAAAATGCAAAAAGAATTTGTTCGATAAGTGACTTGTACCAAAAGTACAATGCACAACACTGCTGAAATCACTATAATATATCCAACCTTTGCCCTGAAGGAACCATCAAGCAAGATGTTGCTTGTCTTAATATCCCGGTGGACATAATGAGATTTCGTGTGCTCATGGATGTACTCAAGAGCTCTAGCAGCATCAAGAGCAATCTGGACCCTCATGATCCAGGAAAGTGATGTATGACCTATAAGACATTTAATCATTCAGATCGATTAATAATAGCATATTCACAGGTCCAAACTCCTACGTCCACGACTCATAACAGATGTTTACAGATACGAAGTTCAATTTAAAGATGGTATGCCATGTGCAGGAACTTAAAAAGTGTTTCTCTTAAACAGATGTCGATTCTCTTTTAAAGAACAACATCTTTGACAATAACATGTCACCAACAAACTGTACCGACGTGTTATCAATAATATCGATACAAATTTTAGTGGTCCCAACAACTTGTAGTGAACTTGGATGTAAAATTTCAGGAAGTTGGGTTACATATGGGACGGTTTAGAAGAAATCACAAATTTCTACAAGCTTTAACGTAGAGAAGATTACGGGCCAAAGAACAAAGCAGGAAGAGAAAGAAAAACCACTGGACTAGCTTATGACGTACTATCGACATAGCATTAGCATGAGGCGTACCTTTGTTCTGAGGATCATGCAAATGGCTTTTAAGTGAACCTTTCTGGGCATATTCATATATAAGGAAGAGCTCTTCATCACTTGCTGCATAACCAATCAATTCTACCTTGACACAATTAAACCCAAATAGGAGTCAGAGTTCTGAAACATCGAAAGCAACAAGTTTCAAAACTACAATGAGACTTACCAGATTTGAATGATGAACCTTGCATAGAACTTTTATTTCTGACAGAAACTCTTTAGTTTTTGTAGCAGTCATTCTTTTAATAGCAACTTCCTGGATAGAAGTCAAACCGTTACCAACAAAGGTGTGACAAGGAAACTTACTCTAGATGGTAAAAGAAAATGTAAATTACGGGAATCCAAGCAGAAATCTGCGAACCTGCTCTTGGAGGAGGCCATAATACACGGAACCATATCTTCCATGGCCCAGAAGACGTGAATCAGAAAACCCATCTGTTGAGGAAAAAATATCTTCATATGTGAAAACGACAGGCTTCTCCATGTCAAGTACATGACTGCCAATAGCTGCAACAAGTAACAGGAGAGGATCAGTCAGACATTCCAAGATTAAGGAGGATGACAACATTTTGGTATATAAAGATTGGATAAAGAAGCAGATTACACACACACAACCTGCCTACATTCTCTTTTTCACCTTATAAAGAGAATACTTATCACTCATTTACAAAGGCAGAACTTCGTATTAAAATATGAGGATAAAATAGTTCAGACATTAAAACCTTTGGGGACAGTTATCTGCTGGCTGCTAGGGTCTCCATTAGTTTGCTTCCAATCTGAAGATGTGCAACACGTGTACCTTCCTGATGCACAACAAAAACTTGGCTTTCGAAGAACACGAAACCTAATTTGACCATCAGGATCTTTTGAACTACTTCTTTGTGCTTCAGTAAAGCAGCCTGAAGACCTCAGGCAACAATATAAAACTATGCCTAATACGATCACAACAAGAATGATCCCTAAACTCCCTACAATCCATAAATATGGCAGATGCGACTTATGATTTTCTCCATTTGCTGCAAACAAAAAACAAAGTACACAACTTATTGTAACGTTCTTGAGTGGGAGAGATTTTTCAGCGTGATGGGTGCACAGCCCGGTACAACAAGTGTCATAATATAAGGGGTTGGATACTTGAAAAAAAAAAAATTCATCAACATGTATTATGAGACTTGGCGTACTGTACTGGGCTGTTTTCCCTGCACACTGAAAAATTTCTCCTTCAGTGGATCAATCCAGGGAATTTAGAAAGGCAAGGGGAAAGAAACGAAGAATCAGAAATAGGAGGGATGCTGAAAAAACATTATGCTTTAAAGCATTAGCTACTATATGTCAACAAACTAACAATTTTGTGGAAACAAAAATTTGCAACAGATTTTGTTGCCGCTGCTCCTATGTAACTATAGTGTGTGCAAATGATTAGAGATGCATCAAAATAAAAAACAGAATATGCATTCCGTACGCACTTACATGGCTTTCTTGACAGTAATTTGAAACATCAAAGTTAACAGATTACAATACAGCTTAGCCAACATTTCTTCACAAGAGCCAAATTGGGATATTGCATTGAGAATCTTAATTTGTTTCTAATCATCTTCTATTTTATACAAAGAACGGCATCATAAACTTGAATCTACATCTCTAATGAAAATCACTTTATCATGTACAACCCTCAATCATTCTGCTACTGTAAGACTCCAATGCTTCCTCTACATTAAGGTCAACAAAACTTGATAATAAGACTATTTACAACCACAGCAACCAGTTTTTACTTTTAGTTTTGTGGATATTAAATTAACAAAACTATCAGCTCACCGTTTCAAATTCAATTATTGTAATTCCTCATGATATATCAAAACCATACCTGAAACACTGGCATTGGATGGCGAAGGAACAGGAGCAGGAGAAATTGTCTCCATAGGATAAGGCTCACCAGGAACTAGAAGCATGGTAAAAAAAATCATAATGGTTATTGGAAAGTTGTTTGGAATAACACTCAAGAACAAGGAAGATTCATAATAGAGGTAGGATTGCATAAGAAAATTTAAACAAACAAAGATTTCAAATCGACCAATTTCTATTGAGCATCGTCCATTCGCCTAGCAAACCAATGAATTTTTCCTTTTCATAACATAGTTACGCCTGATTGTAAGTATTAGCGGCAAAATTTGGTAAAGGTACAATCATGATGATTTGATGATTGCTTCACTAAACATGACATGAAATCTTATTGGAAATTATGAATAAATTGATATCTTATTCATATCTTATACATTGTTCCCACAGTTCACAACATAAGTATAACTGAATTGCATTTTCGATAACTCCGAACTAATCTAACCCGAAACCAGATTAAAATGGATAGCTTTCCCTCACATTTTACCAACAATACATACAATAAACAGCTCCACTAAATTACACAAACACATGAACCGAAAAAAAGGAGCAAATAAAGACTGACCTGAATTCAAAGGAATGTAATACAAAGCACCAACAGTCACATTATCAGGATCAGTAATCCCATTCACCTTCTCAATGCTATCCATACTAACCCCGAACCGGCTAGCCAGAGACTCAATGCTATCCCCATCCCTCATCACATAACTCATCAGATAGTTCCACAACCCACTCGAGCACCCGCACATCAGCCTCAACGACACAACGGCGCCATATC